TAATTTCCCATAAATACATATAATATCAATTGTGGCCAGTTAGTACACACATTAATCAATATTTAAATGCCACTTCAATATTGATTAATGTCTTTACAACACTTTTCTTTAATGCTGGAGGAGGATACATGATAGAGGAAACTCATACATTTTTTGCTGACACTCCTAGCCCCCAGGAAACTGTGGGATATAGTGCTGGACATGACGTTACCTTGGGTACATGACAGTCAGCACCTAACCAGGCTCTGTTTCACAGGCCTAGGTGGCGTTCTGTTTAAGTCCTTGGGTAAGATATGAACTTGTGGTAATTGGGGCAACTGTGGCAAACATTTCCACTGTTCTTTTCTTCCCAGTCTCGTTTGACTCTATTAGTGTTGATTTTTAATTAAAATAATACTTTGAAGATGGTGGGCTTATTAGGAAATATTGTAGTGTTATGGTGTCTAAGTGTCTGACTGACAGGGCCTAGGAGCGACTACATCAGAAAGGTACTTTTTTACTTTTTTCCTTGCAGAGTTCTAGGCAGAGTCTGGCGCTGGAGTTGGCTATCATGCCCAAGTCTGTCACCTTTTTTTGTTTGAAACAGCAAGGGTAAGATGAACTGCAGGGTCAGATGGACTGTTTTGGATCAAATAGTCCAGTCATGCTACCACTTCTTTTCTTTTCTTTTTGTTGCATTGATGTTGAAAGATTGGCATAACCTACATTTGTCTGAAGATGTGTTACCTTGCTGGACCAGTTCCTTAATTAATGTAATATAAACAACATAATTTATCAGGAATAAAATAGTCCATCTTGCCTTCATTCATTTTACCCAAGTAGCAATAAAAATCAGTTAATTTACTAAAAATGATATATCAATACTGATAAACTATTTCTTTAAAAATGCATATATACTTCTCAAAGTTTTTTTATATATTTTATTCATGGCAAAACTTGAATTGTTTACCTTATGATTATTAGCTATAATTTAATGGGGAAAAATCCATACATGTCAGTTTACAATTATATTTCTGCTGCAAATTAAGTAAACTGAATTCCATTTTTCCCTGTTCATAATAATTAAGCACAAGAGGAGGTCATGTGCTACAAATTGTCTCATTAGGCTCTAAATTGGCATTAATAATTATGCAAATTACCATACAATGTGTGGCGCCCCCTCCATTCTTTAGTGCCATGAGCAGGCAACTCCAGCAATGCATTATAATCTATCTTTATCTACTTTATGCATAACAGTCTAATATTGTCATTGCTGCTCTATCAAGTTAAATGTGTGGCACAGCCACCCATGTTTATCTGAAATTGTGGGCTAATTATAGAGATGGGAGATGTTTTCTTTTATCTGAGAAATTGCTAAACAAAACTTTATTACAATAGAAGTGGCAGAAGTCAAGGTTCTTATAGTTTTGGGGAGTTGAAATACTCTGCTTTGTATTTGCTTTTTTCAGCAACAACATATTTTTCTTTCATCAAAAAAAGTTTTTATGAACTGCTTAATTAATCTTTAAATGCTTTGAAGAAAAAGCACAGTAGACAGGCTACAGTAAGTATTATTATTAACTTAGAGGCTCAAGCCTGCTGTGAGGTTTTTTTTTAGTATAAAGCTTCTTTGACAATCCAGTTCCAATTACTGCTTTTGCTTCTTGTTTTCTATTGTCATGAAACAAAAATAAAATAAAAATAAGATTGTACATTATCTCATGCCAAAACTGCGCTTTGAGTCTCCCATTACTATATTTTGTTTCCCACAGTCCCCAAATCTGTCTTGTAGTGTAATCAGTCCCTATTTTCCATTTCAGTTGTGTTTGTTTGTACAAGCAATATGTAAGCCTGTAGCTTAAAGATTTTTTGTGCAGAGATTCTGTTCTTAACACTGTGACAAAAAAAGTGCCAAACACTTGCAGATTGTTTTCTGTGCACTGGTTTCACCTTTCTCCCCTAATTTCCATTAGGTTCTGAGCTTATGCCCAAAGCCCTCTCCACCAGGATAGTGGGAGGCATTTGGTGGTTTTTCACACTTATCATCATTTCCTCGTACACTGCTAACCTAGCCGCCTTTCTGACAGTGGAGCGCATGGAATCTCCCATTGATTCAGCTGATGATTTAGCCAAGCAGACAAAGATAGAGTATGGTGCAGTGGAAGATGGAGCAACCATGACTTTCTTCAAGGTAGGCCCTTTATGTTCTGATTGGAAAAAATGCTGAAACATGATTCTGAAAGTAAAAAGACCTTGAATTAAGCCTGCTGAGCAGAGATATAATATGTGAGATGATTCCCACTGCAGTCAAACCCATTTAGAAAAATTACATTTTTGTGTGTTTGCAAGAGAGCAAAAGAAACATCTTGTTCATACATAAACTTTCTTATGAAAGTAAAAAAGGAAGTTTCCATTTCTTGAAATTTTCTCCTGAAAATAAAAAAGCAGGGCTTTGGATCCGCTTAGATATTTCTGAGGATTTTTCCTCAGAATGCTGAGTGCATTGTAATGGAGTAAGTCAAGAATACTGACGTGAGGCGAATCGCTCAGGCGAATCTCCCATTGCTGGAACTGAGTGTGAGTTTTGCTTGAATAGGGATTTCAGGATCAGGTCAATAATTTTATCATAGTTAATTATGGATCTATCTGTCTAACTTCAGATATCTAGATGCTGATACTGCAGTCTTCACTGTCGCAGCTGGGCTGGGCAAATCTTATGGACATTGCATTTCTGAGAACCTTTCAAATTGAATTTTGACTAGCTCAGATTCATATAACATCTCCCTGCCCTCTGCCTTGTGACTAGGGTGATTCAACAGACAATATAATGTGCTAATTTTTAGCTACATTGAAGCCTGATTAGAGATAGAAGAAATGCCGCTTCTCCCACTCCACCAATTAACTAGGTTGGCACAAATTAGCATTAAGTACATATCCTGGGCCAGATCGTGGCCCTTCAGATTTGACAGCACAAGAGGTTCCTATGGCTCCCCAGTGCAGGGACATACTCCAGGCCTGGAAAATGCATCATATCTGGAGTTCCTTAGCTAGCATAATTATCACTTAACAGCCATTACATACTACTATAACATAGAAAAGCCCTGAGGCTTTCTTGTGTTACACTAAGACTGAGGGTGTGGCCAGAGATCTGGGCAGTGCCAAGGGTGAGTTAAAGGCACCTTTACATCCCTTTACTCAGCTGCATAGAGTAAAAGTTTCACCATTTATTCAGCTGACAGAGCTAAGAAATCATTATCTAATCTTATGGTAGTGATACGTATATAAGTAAGTACAGTAAAAGATTTTTTTTACTTTGGGCAGCTCACCGCAAGCAGCGACCTGCCCCTGCTGCTCCTAGGCATAGGCGCGGTTAGGTGGCTCTGCATGCTGCCTCCACCCTGCCCCAAGCGCTGGCTCTGCAGCTCCCATTGACCGCGAGCCACGACCAATGGGAACTGTGGGGAGGGTGCCGCGGGCAGAGGCAGCACACATGCCAGATAAAAAAGCTTTTACTGTACATACTTTCTGTATTCTCACTTTCAACTTTCACCTGGAAAATAAGAATTGATTAAATTTCAGTGACTGAGGACTTTGTAAGCTTGTTATCTCAGAGGCTGGGTTAGGAAGGTTCAGAATAGTTTCCATTGAGATTTTTTTTTTCAAAAGGATCTGAGGAAAAAATGGGAGTGTGCTAATAAAGTTTGTGGATGACACAAAGCTGGGAGGTATTGCCAATTGCCAGAGAAGGACGGAGTTATCGAACAGGAAGATCTGGATGACCTTGTAAACTGGAGTAATAGTAATAGGATGAAATTTAATAGTGAAAAGTGCAAGGTCATGTATTTAGGGATTAATAACAAGAATTTTTATTATAAGCTAGGGACGCATCAGTTGGAAGTAACAGAGGAGGGGAAGGACCTCGGAGTATTGGTTGATCACAGGATGACTATGAGCCACCAATGTGATATGGCCATGAAAAAAGCTAATGTGGTCTTGGGATGCATTAGGCGAGGTATTTCCAGTGGCGAGAAGAAGGTGTTAGTACCATTATACATGGCACTGGGGAGACCTCATTTGGGATACTTTGTGCAGTTCTGGTCTCCCATGTTTAAGAAGGATGAATTCAAACTGGAACAGGTACAAAGAAGGGCTACTAGGTTGATCCGAGGAATGGAAAACCTGTCTTATGAAAGGAGACTCAAAGAGCTTGGCTTGTTTAGCCTAACCAAAAGAAGGCTGAGGGGAGATATGATTGCTCTCTATAAATATATTAGAGAGATAAATACCAGGGAGGGAGAAGAATTATTTAAGCTTATTACCAATGTGGACACAAGAACAAATGGATATAAACTGGCCATCAGGAAGTTTAGACTTGAAATTAGATGAAGGTTTCTCATCATCAGAGGAGTGAAGTTCTGGAACAGCCTTCCAAGGGGAGCAGTGGGGGCAAAAGACATATCTGGCTTCCAGACTAATCTTGATAAGTTTATGGAGTGGATGGTATGATGGGATAGCCTAATTTTGGCAATTAATTGATCTTTCATTATTAGTGGTAAATATGCCCAATGGCCTGTGATGGGATGTTAGATGGGGTGGGATCTGAATTACTACAGAGAATTCTTTCTTGGGTGTCTGGCTGGTGAGTCTTGCCCACATGCTCAGGGTTTAGCTGATCACCAGATTTGGGGTTGGGAAGGAATTTTCTTCCAGGGCAGATTGGCAGAGGCCCTGGGGGTTTTTCGCCTTCCTCTTCAGCGTGGGGCGCGGATCACTTGCTGGAGGATTCTCTGCACCTTGAAGTCTTTAAACCATGATTTGAGGACTTCAGTAGCTCAGACATAGGTTAGGGGTTTGTTACAGGAGTGGGTGGGTGAGATTCCGTGGCCTGTGATGTGCAGGAGGTCAGACTAGACGATCATAATGGTCCCTTCTGACCTAAAAATCTATGATTCTATGATTCTATGAAATTGATGGAAGTAACTAATCCATTAGAGCTTCTTTTATGACAGGAAATATGTGTAGCAATCCAATAAAACAACATTCAGAAAAAGTTTAAAAACTGAGATTTTTAAAGTACCAACATGATTAAAGTCCCAGGACATAAAGATGACACAAGGTATTTATTGTATGACCAGAAAACACTACCGGACTTCAATGTCTTTTTTGTTTGGCAGAAGACTTTGATCTTATACTCCTCAGATTGGAAGGCTGGACTCTAAAATATTGACAGGTTTCAGAGCAGCAGCCGTGTTAGTCTGTATCCGCAAAAAGAACAGGAGTACTTGTGGCGAAGAAGTGGGCAGTAGCCCACGAAAGCTTATGCTCTAATAAATTTGTTAGTCTCTAAGGTGCCACAAGTACGCCTGTTCTTTTTTCTAAAATATTAGGAGACGTTTTTTACCTAGCAGTATCTTTGACTCCAGTTGCCAGCATCGTTTTTCTCTGTCCTTAACTTTTTTCTTTATTTAAAAAAATTCTCCATGACACCTTCCTTTCTTCTCCAGACACTATTTCTCCTTCTTGCTTTTTTGTCTCCTCCTATCTCTTCTCTGCATATTTTCCCCAATATATACTGCTCTTATACACACTATGTTTCTCATCTTTTCTTGTGCTTCTGTGTGTAGTTCCTCTGTTTGAATATGTATCCTGTTTTGTTTCTGATCCTTCTCACATTCCTTCCTTTATTTCTTTGTGTCTGCCGCTATGTTGCCTCCAAGAACAGAACATTTACAGTCAGTAGAGCAATGACTGCATCTCTTGCATGGAAATGCATTCCCTTCAGTGGCACATAGAAATTTGAAATGTACTAGACTTGACTGCACACAACAGAAACATAGCATCAGAAAGCACAATTTTGTAGTGCTTCTAGTACATTTTTATTGAATTCACCACTTCAGCAAGGGTGAACAAGGAAAGTGAAGTCAGAGCACAGGACTCAGTTGTTAAATTTAGGGTAAAATTCTGCTCTCAATTACACTGGTGTAAATACATTTATTGGAGTCAATGTGGATTTACAACATTGTATCTAAAGTGGTGCTTAGTTTGTGCCGGGGCTTGATAGGGCTGAGACCTAGCAACTTTAGGCTTGGCAGTTCATAGCCCCGGCACCTCTGGGGTTGCTGCATCAATTATGAAAGTACAAAAATTATGTGAGCCTTGCACCTCTTTCATTACAAATTAAGCACTGATCTAAAGGCAAAGTATTTTGCAGTGAATATACGTGTAGAACCCAGTGACTCTGTTGAGAGCATCAGTCAAACTCTTCCTAACATTTTTGTGATCATTTGTTGCTGTTTTATCTAAATATTATCAGTTAATTAGTATCATGTTATACGTGGTACTGAGGAGCTAAGCTTAAAAGCAGTTTAAGAATTCACACAGTTTGGTTACTTGAAGCTGAAAGACTTATGAAAGGAAAGGAGCTTAGAAAGTGGGGTATAGTTTTAAATACACAGCATTAGAACTGCCCATTGATGTTGCACTAGTACTACCAATAGAGTAAATATGGAGCTCAGCTGGAAGGGATAAATGAAAACTCCACAATCTCAGTTGATTAACCCAATATCCATTAGTCTCTTCCTTGTGGAAGTAAGAGTTTCCTTGATACATGTGCTGTTGGTTGCAGTTGAGTATATAAGGAAGAAATTTTAGTACTCAGATGTATGTGGCATAAAAAACAAAATCTAACACTGGACTACATTCTTTCCCACTTACACCAACAGAACCTCCTTGACAAACCTGATGGTTGACTAGGTGGAAATGATCATAATCTAATTTCATTCATTTTGAGCTAACAGAATATAGTTCCATATGGTAGAATATATATATATACTTGTTGATCTGTGAGGACGGACCAGCTGCCAAAGGTTGCCGATCCCTGTCTTACACTGATTGTGAAATGGTTTCTATACCATCAGTAACTAGAGAGGATGTTAAACAGAAACTATTCAAGTTAAACCTTTTTTTTAAATCTGCAGGATCAGAGGACCTGCATCCATGAGTATTAAAAGAACTGGCCAAGGAGGTCTTTGAATAATTAATGTTGAGTTTTAATAAAATCTTGGAACACAGGTGAAGTTCCAGAGGACTGGAATAAAGCTAGTGCTGTGCCAATATTTAAAAAGGGTAAATAGGATGAACCAAGAAACTATAGGCTTGTTAGCCTGACATTAATCCTGGACAAAATCATAG